GTGATCTATTTATTGTGGTCCATATGGTGATCTATTTATTTATAATTTTTTCTCTTTTTTGGAGAACTACACTTGCTCTCTGCTGCCACATAGATCAAGCTATTTAGATAACGTATGCATCAAAAACATCTTTCTTCATTGATGTTTATTTAGAAATACAGTAAGTAACTAAATGAAGCATCTTTTTTAAATAATCATCTAGTCGGCAGCTAGCTCTCTGCAACTCTCACATGGTCGCCCACTGAAGCTAAGCAGGGCTGCGCCCGTTCAGTACCTGGATGGGAGACCACATGGGAAAGCTAGGTTGCTGCCAGTAGTGGTGCTAGTGAGGCCAGCAGGGGGTGCCCAACCTGCGGTCTGTGTGAGTCCTAATGCCCCAGTATAGTAATGGGGACTCTATACTTGAGTGCCCAGAAAAGTGCTATATAAATGTAAGGAATTATTAATTATTATCATTATCTATTGCATTTTTTTTTCCTTTGCCTTTGTCCTCTTTTTGGATTTAGTTAGATAATATAGGCATCAAACACATCTTTCTTTTTATCTATTCAGATAGCGACTAAATATGACTAAATACACATATATAAATAAATAAATAAATAAATAGACTGCATTACATGTACTATTTTCGTGAACTGCACTTTCTCTCTGCTGCCCCCTATTTTACTGTCCGGTATCTCTCTGTCTCTCGTTCATTTTCTCCCTTTCTGTGTGTCTCATTTGTTCCGCATTTAACCACAGTCACCGGTTGCTGTCCCAGAGCACTGCAGATGTCTGAGTCAGCAGCTGCTGCAGTAATGCCAACAGACAAATACACACACAAAAGCGACTGTGTTTAACTAACATACGTCCTCTATCACACTCTTGAGTGCTCCATATGGTGAGCATTAATGCCGTTTCCTCCTGGGATGATCCTGATGTCTTGATGCATGCGCTTCAATCCTGTAATCGCCCATATTCACACATCAGTCGATTCTCACATGCTGCGTGTCACATTGACGGTTGAGTCAAATAGTGATTTGCATGAGTTTCAGGGTGTTTTTCTCTCTATGTCTCCATTAGCAGTTGGCTGTGCTGCAGCAGGGCTTCTCTCATTGCTGATGCAGCATTTCTAGGCACATTCATATTCTAATTTCACTGCTGTGCTTTAAGAGTTCCCTTCAAAACTTCATGAAGGTCGTTGCGCTTAGTTAAGCCTGAACCGGAGATATGATATAGTTTCTGTGGTGCTACACATAATTATAAACTAATATATCTGTTTTACACTGGATTAGTTGGAGTTTTTCACAGTTGATTCTATAGTAAAGTGTATACGTTTATAAATTGGTTCACATAAAGCTGAATAAATCATTGATGTATATTTGTTAAGATAGGATAATATTTGGCCTAGAAAACAACTATACTTAAGTATAAAAAAATCTAAATACTGATAAAATTGCCTTTAGATTTGCCCAAATTAAATTATTAGCAATGCATATTACTAATAAAAATGAAGTTATTATATAATTTAAAAAGATTATAACTTTGCTAAATATACTCATGAACATAATCTTTACTTATATTATATTGATGTTCTACACTGAGAAAAATTGTTAATTGGATTTACTATGTTTACTATGTTTTAAAGTAACTGGTTGCAAACCAATTTGTAAATTTTATTTATTTATTTTTTTTTTTAAAAACAAATTATATTTAGGCCCAATCCCAATTTTGTTTTTGTACCCCTACCCCTTCCCCTTGGCCCTTAAACAATGTGTGAAGAGGAAGGGCTTCAAATTTTACCCCTAAGAAATGGGACACCTCTACAGCTGCACACATTATTATATGTCATTGCGATCTCTTACTTAATATAAGATTGACGATGACGTCTGCTGTAGTTATTTCAGTTGCGTTTTTTTTGGCATTTATCTTCAGGAAATCACTGAAGGCATATATTATGTTATCATAAAGATATAATGGGGCAATAAGCTTGTAACTGTACTGTGTATTTATACCATGGACATCTAAGCAAACGAAAACAATGTTAACATTATACCTGACACTGTAAAAAGGTCATTTCCAGCCACTAGACTTTTCTGACAGGGGAATCAAGTGTCAGATGTGAAAGTATGTTGTGGGACTGCTATACAATAGTTATTATTATGGATTAAGAATAGCTAAATGTATCTGTTATTGTTTATCTGGCTTACCCCTTAGCCCTATGCCTTTAAGCTAAAGAGAATTGGGACACAGCTACCCCTCCTTTCGCACATTCATTTGAAGATGTAGAGGTGTCCCAGTTCTCTAAAGTAAGGAGAAGGGGTTAAGTCTGATTTATACTTTTGTCTGGCACCGTGTCGCGGACTTCCATTGACTGCGTGCGCATCTTGCAAAACGGACGAGGCTTTTATACTTGCTGCGTTTGCCGTTGTGATATTGACCATAAAATCAGATGGATAAACAGAGAAGTAGCTGTACACTGTTTTTTTATTATGACAAGAATACAAGAAAAAAAAGTACTCTTAATGAAAAATTCAGACTTTTTTTATTTAGCCCACTCAATATTCACACATTACTGTCTGGCTAGTTTCTGTTCTCTTCTTATGCTAAAAAGGCAATAATGTTTCAACATTCCTGACCATTATCACAAATAAAGCCTATATAAACAGGGCATTAACATATTGTAAACCGATAGGTTCAAATATTTCTTTCCAGTTATCAAAGAAATAATATGTGACTTCATTTCACAAACATTCACCAACCGCCTGGGTCTCCACTTTTGCCATGGCCTCTCTTTTTGGTTTTAACAAACTTATCACTCAAGTTTTTTAAACTTTTACAAAAACTTTCCTCTTTTCCAGCGGTTGCAATTTCTAGCCAAGATTTATTGCCCATCAGGTTCTTTCTATGATCTTGTGTGGACGAATCATAATGATGTCTGTACAGGCATACCTGTTTTAGACAAAACTTTTTCAAAGGGATTCATATTCAACGCTGCGCTGTGTAAACTGTTCGCTCGAGTGCAAAAAAATTGTGCACTCCGCCAGCCGAAATTATGTCTCGCACAACCAAAGTGAACATCTGCAAACACAGTGATGACATCACATTCGACGCACGCACTCAAGCAAACTAGCGGACGCGTCGAGTATAAACCAGACTAAAGAGGTAGAATTAGGATTGGGCCTTAGTAATTTCAACTTAATTTGTTTGTTAAATTCAACCCATATGAATTATTTGTAACTAGTTACCTTAAAAATATTTAGTAAATCCAACGAATAATAATTATTTTAGTTTAATATTATTATGATTTTTGGAATAAAAATATAGATATTTTTGGTGAAGAAATTTTATATATAAATTATAATATTTTATTTCCTGAAGAAGGACTTCTTTCTCAAGAATACGAACACAAGTTTCTAATTTTTCTTTTTTTTTTTAAATGTAAACACAAATTAATCATTTTCATACCATTTTTTGTTGAAGCACTAGCATTCGGAAGCCATCAAAATGTCATCAGAGCCTCAGCTTATACACAGCACTCATTATGTGAACATTACTATGCAAACTAGCTCACAGAATGGGGTTAGTAAAAATAGCTTCAGATGAGTTCTTGTCTTTAGATCCACACAATGCAGAATGTGCCTACATTATAGGACACGCATTGAATGAAGTCATTCCTTTGTGTGCCAACATGCATTTCTCTAAGATGTGAATAACATTTCTTCCTGATTTAGGGTGCCATTTGGTTTTTATTTAAAGTTTGAGGTTTGTAAAATAAGGGTTTTTTTTTTTCTTGGATTTGTACTGATTTGTATGAATGTTTGTGTTCTGCTTGCCATTGGCTCGGCCAGGGTTCTTAAAGTCGACATGAAATCAAGTTTATCAATGAATATCAATATTTTTAGGATGCTGTTTCATGTATAAGATGCTATAATGTGAAAAATATTTTTTTTTAAATTGTTGCAAATTTCATTCATTTTCTTTTCAGCTTAGTCCCTTTATTAATCTGAGGTAGCCACAGCAGAATTAACCACCAACTTATGCAGGATATGTTTTATGCAACGCATGCCTTTCCAGCTGCAACCACTGGGAACTTCCATACACACTCATTTACACACATACGGCCAATTTAGCTTAACCAATTCACCTATACCACACGTCTTCGGACTTGAGTGGGAAACGCCGGAAACACCAACTGACTCAGCCGGGGCTCGAATCAGCAACCTTCTTGCTGTGAGGCGATTGTGCTACCCACTGCACCACAATGCTGCCCCTGTTGGACATTTATTAAAAATAAAAAAAACCTGAAAAATCACAATCTCTTTTTCACATTGTTATTATGGGGTATTGTGTGTAGAATTTTGAGGAAATTAATTAATTTAATCCTTTTTGGAATAAGCCTGTAACATAAAAAATGTGGAAAAAGTGAAGCGCTATGAATACTATAACCTGTACATTTGTACTTGTATAGAATGAAACAAACAGGTGACACTGCATATTCGCTCTGCCTTTTTTTTTTTTTTTTTTTTTTTTTTTGTGCATGATCTGTTTAAATCTGTCAAAATTAGATTAAACTGTGTTTCTGACCTCAGGTGAGAGCTGTAAGTCCAATTTGTGATGTATTTCTTGTGAATGTTTATTGAGGCTGAGGATTCAGGAAATAGAGTCATTAAATTATTTTTGCAATTTGCAACCATAGTCAGTTAACAATGCTGTTGGGAAATGCACCTCATAACAAGCGTGTGTTTAAAACTGGATTTTCACCAGGGAGGTTTGAATAAATGTGTTAGTGACTGGGAAATTTGTTTTATTACAGAATATTTTTTAAAGTAGAGCTATTATAAAAAAGTTTGTGAGGAATTTTACAAGTTTGGGTCATTCGTGGGAACACATTCATATTTAATGTTCAGTCCCCTCAGGGAAGAGAACAAATGTGGAGTGTGAGGTTTAGAGGTGGAATTTAAGTAAACCTTAAAATAGCTGGTGCTCAGGAAAAAAGAGCACGTCCCGAGAGATTCTGCACTCCGGCACAGAGAGAGAACATTCATGACTCACTTCCACTGCTCTGTCATTTCCTCATTGCTTTGTTATTAATTTGCTTAATAAGGGTTGCAGGAAACAAAAGTTCAGACTGATTTTTGACTCTCTGTCTCTCTTAGATGGTAAAGTGTATGCGTTGGGTGGAATGGGAGCCGACACGACCCCTCAGGCCACGGTGAGACTGTATGAGGCGACGAAGGACCAGTGGCTGCCCCTCACCTCTATGCCCACCCCTCGATATGGAGCGTTCTCCTTCCTGCGCGGAAACAAGATCTACGTCCTGGGTATGACCTCCTAAAATGATCTCAGATATCTGATTAATTCTGTTGCTAGCCAGACAAACAGTCTTAGTTTCCTAGGAGTAAAAAAGACGTGACCGAAAACTAAATTTAAAAAAGGTCAGAGAGGCTGGAGTGTCCAGTGCCAAAACATTTGTTTAGTGTTAAAGGGTATCCCAGTTTTGACTAAAAAACTTTCTTTGCAGCTGCTGAACTAGAACTTCGTCATCTTAAAAGAACAGGAAAAAACATAAAGCACTTTTTTAAGAAATATGACGGTGGTTAAATAATGAGAAACATAGTATTAATTTAAATGGCTAAACAAAGAATTGTAAAAAAAATAAAATAACCACCTATCACAGACCTGTTTTATATTTCGTACAGTTGACTGGTGATGATCATGCCACAGGCCAACTCTGTTATATGCCCCTAAAAGAGCCTCTATTTTGCATAATAAAAGGTTATATTTTGGTTTTGGGGGTCTCCAACAACAGGCTGATATGCATGTAGGGTCAAAAACACTTTCATTGTCTTATAATATGCATTTATTTTTGCCTAATTATCCCAACAACTCCCATATGATTTGTTTAGCAATTCTTTTGTTCCAAAACCCCTCATTTGCATGAGGCGAATTCTGTGCTTATTGGTCCGATGACCTAGTCTGTTGTGATTGGTCGATTGAGTTTCAGTATTAATGCACACAGTGGCAAAAGTTGAACTATTTTGAAAATTGACCGTGTGTAGGAACAGCTGATGGTGGCCATAGCAAAGACAAACGGCAGAGGATCATGAGTTCAGAAACGCATTAAAATCGGTAAAGGAAGAAGCACGCATCGCATTTTCAAAGTGAATTTGGACGCAATATGTGAATAGCTATACAGTATGATCTATAATAGATAAGTGATTACCAGCCGCGCGGATCGATTACAAGTTACAACACACTATTAAATACATATTTTGCAAACTGGACAAAATGAGGCAACTATTTTAATTACAATTACGTGTTATGATCCGGAAGAAGAAGAAACTGGTCCATATGAACTGTAACAGTTACTATAAATAATAGTCTCTGCTGCTCCTTTCTTTAATAGCAAACAGCCGATAAATTCTGCGTTGCAGCGTAAGTTATTGTTTAAAAAGTCTGAAAAATGACAGGAACAAACACAGCACTAGGTTTTCTATTCTGTGGCATTGTTGTGAAAATGAACTTTAACCCTTTATTCCCCGCAGCCGACTCTCCATCTGTCAGTGATCATCATCTTCTTGTCATGATCAGTCCCGTGATCCTTTGTGCTTGCTAGTGTTTATAGGGAAAGGCGAGTTCACATTTTAACTAGAACTGGCACTTCATATTTGGTGATGTACAGTATCGACGTGGATGCGTTCAAGTAAAAGATCTGAACCCAGTATAATTCATTTATTCGACTCAGAGTCGATTATTTCGCTAAAGAATCAATAGTTTTAAACACAGTGCACTTTCAGATTTAAGCCTCAGCTAAATATTTCACTTCACTTAGGTCATTTTCCAAAACCCATAATAGGGGCTCTTTGAATGTGACCCTGGAGCACTAAACCAGTCTTATGTTGCACAAGTATATTTTTGCCATAAATACATTGTCTGAATGAAAGTTAATGATTTTTCTTTTACGACAAAAAATCATTAGCATATTAAGTAAAGATCATGGTCAACAAAGATATGTCAATTTGAAAAGCCAAAAACAAAAGTTCTGAATAGTAAATTATGAATTACTAAGAACCTAATTTGGTGAAGAACTTAATTAACTTTAATAGTGGTTTTATCAGTTTTTAGATTGTTTTGAACTCCCAGATTCCAGATATTCAAATCAAATTATATCTCTGTCAAGTATTATCAGATACGAACAAATCATCACGCATCAATGGGAAGCTTATTTATTTATAATCAGATTAAAATCATAATCATCTAACCACCATCATATTGCTTAAAAAGTGCGTTATGTTTTTTCCTGTTCTTAAAAAACTTTAAAGCTCAAGTTCAGTAGCTGTAAAAAAAAATATTAACATTAAACAAATGTTTTAGCACTGTTTAGCCTATCTTTTTTAAATTTAGTATTCGGTCATGTCTCTTTATTCCTACAAAAAGTCATGACATTTACTGTATGATTTGTTTTGTGGTCCAGGGTCACAACTGAAAGCTATTGGGTTTTTAGCCTCATATCTGTATCAAATAATATAAAGTTACAGTAGATGGCTCCTAACAATCAGGAAGATGGAGGCAGAGAATAGACTAACTTTCAAAAACTTTAATAAATGAGCACAAAACAAACACACAGGTGACACTAATTAACACTTGCACCACCAGCCTCGCCACACACAAAGGCTGTTTTTAGCCCAAATAGTATGAGTGCAAATGTGATATTGATTTTTATACAACAGAAACATAAATATTAAAAAATGTTGTTAACCAAACTGTTCTGGCTACCATCGACTTCGATTATGTGAACAAGAAAAATACAGAGACGTTTTTCAACTGTGATGATCTATTATGTTTGGCCATTGTAATGCTGTTGAAACTCTGATTGAGTGTTTAAACACTTATTGCAAACATAATTGAATTCAGCTTTTTCTCTCTTATGTAAAGCCATGGATAAACATGGATGATTGAAAATGCTAAATGATATTTGTTTCAGTGTCTCGTCACCATTATTAATGTTTGCTTATCACAGAAATTAGGAAAGAGAGCATTAAAGAAACACAAACTTGGGATATTGTGTGCTTCATTACAGTACAAACCATTTTGCAGCTTAATCTTTTTGTGGCGGATTCATGATTAGAAATTTCTTCAAAGGAAATCGTTTGCATCATTATAAATGTCTTTGTCTTTCCTGTCAATTTTAGATCACTTTAATACACCCTTGCCAGTTTTTCAAACAAGTAAGATGTAAAATGATTTTGTTAGGTATTGTTGAAAAGGAATGGAAATGTGGGCTTTCTCCCTAGTGGTTCTTAGCAGACGGTGTACTGGACTAGCCAGTAATTGTAATGCATCTTATTTTGTGTGTCAGACTGTGTCACAATATCCTCCAGCAACAGCAGATGTGGTAAAAAAAAACACCTGGTAATTGTTCGTGTCATGCCAGGGCTGATAAGAACTGTGGAGTGCAGTCATTCCTCAGTGGGGGAAGTGGAATCTGCTCTGCAATATGCTGCAGGGATCTGACGCTTTACAGCAGAGCTCTTCGCTCCTTACTTCCGTCTTAGAAATCACAAAGGAACATTAAATGAAAACCTGTATCTCAGCTTACCATTATACACTCAGTTTGTCCTCTAAAAGAACTTCAGCCCTTGGCTGTATTGGGCTTAGTGAGAGACACAAATGCAACCAAATGCTAGCTGTATGCACTTGTTTTGTTTTGTGTGTGAGGAGGCTAATAATTCTGTTTTAAATTCTTGTTAGTTTTAAATCTTTATTTAGTTTTTCCCTTAAAAAGATGTCAAAATCAGCATTGTAACATGTTAAATATGTGTTGCTCCAAGCATTTTAATTGGTTTGTTTCTATATGTTTTCAGTGTTGCATTTTAAAGTATGAACTAGCATTTGCTTTGTCTTTAACCATTAAAATTGTGTCTGCATGTTTTCTACACTGCATGATTTGGTGTATATTTTTCCCTCTTCCAAAAATTCCTAAACAAATAATTCATGGAATATGCTTGTCAAAGAAAAGTGTATTCTATGGGCCATATATACTTGCAAAATAAAAGAAAGTTTTGCAAACAAAAAATAAAGTATTAAGCTAAAAATAGCTCAATGCCGGCAGCTAGCTCTCTGTAGCTCTCACATGGTCGCCCACTGAAGGTAAGCAGGGCTCCACCCGGTCAGTACCTGGATGGGAGACTACATTGAAGTACTAGGTTGCTGCTGAAAGTGGTATTTGATGAGTATTAGGGGTATTTATACGTGTGTGCGTGTGTGTTTGTGTGTTTGTTTGTGTGTTTGATGGTTGGTCAGAGTGTTATTGTGCCCATGGGTTTGATGAGCTTGTGGAGTTGTTGTCAGTATGGGGTTTTGTTTTTGGCAGACTTGTCCTCTTTCTAACCTCACTGCACTGTGCGAGACATTCTGTCCAGGTCAGACACAAAGATCAGCTGCCCTCTCACTCTTTCACAAGTCATTATAACTCTCTCACACACACATATACTCACACTAATGAGGACATGCCAAAGACTTCTGTTTTATAAAAAGTGTAGGCTGGACATGCCAAGAGCTACGGGCATATGATTGATCAGTCTGGTGATGCAGACGTGCCCTCATTACTGTTACACACCTGGGCTCACATTCCCTCTTCGTGAGTGCAACTTCTGCTTCAAACTTTTGTTTAGTCTGGTTTGGTTTAATTTTAGAGGCTGAATAGAAATGCAGTGGCTTTAATAGAGACATTGTGATATGCTGCTTAAGATATTGCATATTTAAGAAGCATATATATAGTAACTTCATTGTCATTTGTTTCAATTTAAGTCATAAACGCCACAAATGTCTTGTAATAACCACCAGGGTTTTTTCCAATTATTATTAAAATTAGTTTTCTTTTTTTCTTTCTATTTCATGAGTGCCATACAAAGAGAAAAGGTGTGTTTATATTTAGTGTTACATTCTGTTATGATCACCAGCGATCTATTGTTTGAGATCTCGTGTTTTGACCCAATATTTTGTTTACCATTTATGTTGTTTTGCCACCTACATTGACTTCTTTCCCTGTGACCATGACTATTCTTTTTGATTGTCCTCATGCTACCGGTTGCCCCTGTTTTGAACTTTGCCTGCCTGACTCATCTCTAAATAAACTGCAGTTGGCCCTCATCTTTGTTGTCATCTGACTCCATTCAATAACAAATGAATTAGGCAAATCATTGGACACCAGTGGTTTGTTCTGTAGCTATCAGAACAAATAATTTTGGTCACACTTTACATAAGGTATAACTCTTGCTATTATTAAGCCATAAATTATGACTTTTGCCTCAATAAACTC